CGAGCTTCATTGTTCAAATTATATGGGCCAAGTGGGGACTTTCGAAATAAAGTCTCACCTCCCTCTTTCCATATAATCAATCTTGCGAATCAGAAGGGAACTCCTTGAAAGAACGAAAAACCGTGTTAGGAACGAATAGATTCAATGACATGTTGAATTATACTTCTGGATTGTAATAGCTGAGGAGAGGAAGATATAACAAAGTGAATGAAACCTGATCATTTGGTGAGTAATCCCAATCGGGCGCAAACACATTCACATACAAGCAATCTTCGCTGATTGGAACTCGTACGAGGAACTTTTCAACCAGTAAATCATGCTGAGGCGCACGACACGGGTGTTTGATGCATTCGCGCACACCATCCCACGGTTCCGGTGGAACTGGTTTCTGAAGAAAACCTCTGGCATTAAAATTTGATCAATCATTCGATCAGCTAAGTGTGATCAGTTGATCTTGATATGTGTGATCAAAGAAACTGTTGATCAGTGAACCATCCTTATGAGTAACCAAAGCAGTGGAAAGAAGCTCAATGGATATTTGTGAACAACTTCTTCGAAGACGGCAGAAACGATAATCACTCTATCGTGAGTCAATCATTCGAAGGGAAAAACTCGCGAGTTGTCGCAAGTTTTGTGGTCTGTTGGTTTGTCAGACTCCAAAATGAAGTTGCATCGAGTCAACACTTTGGATTTCTTTGTATTTATTATAAGTCAACAGTTGTGGATTTCTAAGATGAATTTTAGCGGTACTCATCTGTTTATTGCGCTACTCATTGTCATATCTCGTTCATAATTGATTAAGACTTGAAATGTTCGTTGGAATTTAATGCAGACAAACGTTGAATCAAAGACAAAACAAGCTAAAAGTAACCTGAAATCTCAATTCCCCAACGGGTGGCTTTGCGAACGGAATACCAAGAAATATATTTACAAAGCGATTGCCATCAATTTGAATCGACTGGCCTGTTATCTCGCCATAATTTGTTGCGATTACTTTCGATTTTTTGAACCCTCCACCGAAATATTGCGAAACGAGATTGCCCATAGGTGTTGAACACCTGCAAATGGAAAGTATTTCAAAGTAGGATTATTGAAGGTTCACAAAGAATTCAGAACCAAATTAGACTGTGGGATTTAATTCACAATCAGTAGAATAGCACCAATGTTTAACCAGGCACAACTGCAAACAAATGCAAAACCATTCGGACTATTCGACAAATAGCACTAAATTATGATAAGATCATGGTCTACTTAATAACGATGGATGATATCCTCATCATCCGTAAGTAAGCCCAACTAAAACGATCATTGTTTCATTCATACATATGATTCCCTGCAGATTATCGTGAAGTCATACCACAAGGCCAATTTCATGTACGAAGGAAGTGGGTGACTTCAAAAGGATCATGCGAACAACATCATTTATTACTGAGTGCATGCTGCTGTCTTTTCAATAGATACTGTGAAAACACTTTCATGCTCTACGTATTGATCACTCGTAAGGAAGATGAATCATGAAATGTTTCTGCAGTTTTGAAACATTCTTGTGATTTATTCAAGAAAAGCAAAACGTATTGACAGTTTTTGGCCGTTCCAATAGGACACCAAAGACAACCTATTGCAAATTCTTGGTTACCTTTAAAGAAACATTTACGAAATGGAAACAAACATTTAATAATATTGATTATTTGATGATTAATTTGCTCACTGAAATTTATTGGACAGAAATGAAGGTTTGCAAGCAAAAACAATAGATTAAAGACTAGGTCATAAATCAAAATTACTCAAAAAATAACTCAAAACTCTTCTGAATGATACTATCTCTCCCTCTCAGAAAAGTGGAACATCACAAGACCCGAACAGAATAAACCAACGAAATAACTAGTATCATGCGGAATAGTATTATTGACATGTTAATGTGTGCACTAGAAATTGTATCATGCTCATACAAAAGTATTTAGAACTCCTCTCTTGTTCCTCTCTCTTCCTCTAATCCTACTCATATCAAACATTATGCGTGAAGGTCAATCGAACGCATAATGTGTAAATTGGTTGCATAAGTTGATTTCTATTCATGCACAATCTTAGTTCAATATGTTCCTTTGAGTGCACTTCTCGAATGGTCACTTCTTGATGAAATATCAGAGAAAATATCAAAATATCAAATCAAATGAGAAAATATCAGAAAATATCAAAAAATGTCAAAATATCAAAGAGAAAATATCAAAATATCAAAATGTCAAATATCGAAAATATCAAATATTAAAATATCAAATGATGCTAAAAACTGGATCTTTGTTTATTTTAAACAAATTTGAAAGTACTTCTGTGTAGAAGCGGAAGTATCGAACTAATACTTGACTGCCTGCNCAGCGAATGTGAGCAGGTTTTCTCAGTTGAATAGATTCCTGAAAAGTGGCTGATGCTTTTCTCTTTGATTCCATTCATTCATGAAATCCATTGTATGTTGATTTACTGTGACGAAAATTAGAATGAAATCAAAGAATTCTCAATCATCTTTTCCTATTCGTTGCGCGACAATGAGGATCAAAAAAACAATACTTTTGATCACCTGGTCGATAAAAACTGAAAAATAAGTCCAAATTTGTTATTGCTTATTTGTTTTTTTTTCGTTCCCTATCTTTAGCAGAACTCAAAGTTTCATAAGCAAATAAGCTGGAATTTTTGGAAGTTTGAAAATGTACGATCGGAAAATGTGAGGTACGTCAGTGATCATTTGACACTAAATCTTTTTGACAGTTTCCTTGATTTAAAATATTCCCAACACAGTGCATCACCCAAAAATGAAACACTTGTCAGTATTGTTGAAGGAAATCCTTCAAAATCAGACTTCAAGTCGAACATATTCTCATCACAGTTGTCAGCTGAAAACTTATCGATGTGCTTAGCAAATGCCCCAAAGGAATTGCTTTGCCGTGCGGTCGGTTCAGTTTTTATTACCCTTCACCCAAACACTGAAACAATTACATCAAGTGAACTTTTTGTGCGTTGATGAGTTCGGCG